TCAAGTGTCACTGGGCCTCAGCTCTAGGGATGAGCTGCCTGGCAGCTTATCCCAGGGACTCCTATCTCATATTGCAGGAAAGCGCTTCTACTGAGCTGGAATCTGCCCGGTGCCTATAGCTTCTGCCCTCCAGAGCCAGTCAGAACAAGCCTGACCCCGCTTCCCCTAAATGCCCTCCAGAAATTCAGAATATGCTCTCTTTTTCTCTTCTTCTCAAAACAAGTGACTTCCCTTTTTCTATGCAAAACGAAGGCCCCTCTGTCTCTACCAGCAAAGTTTCCTTCGCAAAGTTTCCTTCCTGTGTCTGTCTCTCGCTGTCTTCCCGGGGCTGCATCCCAAGTCAGTCTCTCCCCAGGCCTCTGCTTTTCTGAGCAGCCTTTCTCTCTTTCTCTCTCTGTCCGTTCTGCATCTCTGTTTTCCTCCTCACACACTTTTCACTCCCTCTTCTTCCCTTTCACCTTTATTTCTCCTTTAATTGGTCACAGTAAAATGGAGAAATATGTTTGTTTCCCACATAGAATTTCTGATCTCCCATTTCTAACACAAAAGGCAGACAGGAGAATATTTCACAATACTCCTTGAAAACAAATCCCAGCTCAGCTGCCTGTCCCTCTGATCCTGGTCCAGTGTGGGTTGGTGGCTCTGCATAGGGACCTGATATTAGAACTCAGTGTTCCTTGCCTTTTTCATTTGGGCCTTGGAGACCGACAAACCGGAGCTTCTAGTCCCAGCTCAATCACTTAACTAGATGTGCGACCTTGGGAAATTCACTCAACGGAGCTTCAGTTTACTATCTCTAAAATGGAGGCAATAATTGATATCACTGAGAAGCATGGTAAGAAAGAAATGCAACCAAGGCTTGGCACACAGTAGGGCCTAGAATGTTCTGGATTCCTTCTTCTTCCCTGTCCCCGTGTACTCAAGAAAGCCAAGTCCAATGGCTATTTGGAGGCAAATCATGACCCACAGCACCTGACACTGTGTTCTGCAGCCACTATGCTGTTTTCAGATGGTTTTCATTTGTTTGTTTGTTTGTTTGTTTGTTTGTTTATTATTTTGCTACCGCCTGCTGCCACTCTATGCTGTGCCCGGGTGGGAGACCAAAGGCCAAACGTCAGTCTGTCCTCTTGCCTCTCTCTGCCTTGCTCTCCTCCCCTCTGCCCACTTTGTGCCAGCACCACACGTGGTTCTGACTCACCGGCAGCTGTCCAGCCACACGTCCCCACCACGCAGCCAGGCCCCGTGGTCCTGGTTCTTGTAGGCGGTAAAGTGCCTGATGATGGCCGGCTCCCGGGGCTTCAGCGGGTCAGCATCCTGGTGAGGGCTGTATCTGGAACACACCATGGAAGGGCACAGGTGGTGGGGTTGGGGGACACCTGTACTGACTCCCTTCTAGGCTCTGGAAACTTCTTTCTACTCACTGTGCCCCAGAAGGCGAGAAAACAGAAACCCATTAGCATTTGGAATAAACTTTCTGAGCTATTGCAGGATCAGAAGGCCTTTTCTCCAGGGCCCAGCCCTGTGCAGCTACAGAAATGTCATTTCTGTTCATCAGCAGCACTAAAGGGCCCTCCCCAAAGAGGGGTCAAAGCACAGGGGAAAGTTCAGACAGTGCATCCCAAACAGGGCACGCACTGCAGTCCATGTGGCTTGGAATGAGAGGCTGGGGATACCCTGCTCTTCCACTAACTGGCAGGTAACCTGAACCCGTGCCTTTTTCAGCCTGTCTTAGCTACCAAATGAAGTATTGAGCCTGGACGCTCATCAATGTCTAGTCCAGCTGAAGTGTTCTGTGGACGCTATCATGTGACTAGTGTTCCTCACTTTTGATGGGGACTGAGCAACTCGGCCTCTTTAAAGGGTACTAGTTTTACTAATTACCTTGAGGTTTTGACAACACCTTTGAAAAGCAGCCCCTGGCCTTCAGCTGAGCTCCAGATTTATTTATAGGCATAACCGCATGTTCTTTCCCATTAAATTGATGGTGAAATTCTTCTTTTCTCTTTGCCTTTTTATCCCAGCCCAACCTGCTGTGCCCCTGGCCTTTCCTATTGACTTACCAGGTATTGGCTTTGCTGAGGGATCTAGAATACTTGAGGCATTTCTGTCTCCCTTTGGCTACTGGGGCCTGAATCCTAATTCAGACTTTGCCCTGCTCAGATTTTTCACCACGGTACCCCTAGCAACCAGCTCAATGCTCAGCACATAGAAAGTGCTCAGCAGAATAAATGACTGAATGAGCGGGAGAAAGGAGCTGGATGGAGAGGTCACCATGGTGTGTATGTTTTCCCAAGGGTTGTTACCTGGCAGAGATGATAGAGAGGAAGGGTCGCTTGTCCTTGGCAGTGGCCTCGGTGGTTTTGACTCCGTTGTCTATGATCATGCCAGCCTGGGGAGAAGAGACATTCAGGGACATATTAGCTTCTACTGCAGGCCGCAGGCATCTTCTCACTCCCAGCCTCACTGCATACTCTTGAACACTCTAGTAAAACCAGCTTTGTCTCTGGCTGCATTAATGGAAGTAGAGGGTCTGTAGCAAGGGAGGTGAAGAACCTGCCTTATTCTGCATTGCTCAGACAATATCTGGAATAAGGTGTCCTCTCTGAAACACAGATGAGGAAACCGAGGTCTAGAGAGTTTAAGTATCTTGTCCAAGGTCACAGAGCTAAGTCCACATGCAGGCTCCACACTGCTTTAGAAATTTGTTAGCCCAGGCCCCAAATCAAGGACAACAGGTGTACATTCTTGGGAAATTTGTCTACAATGATTTGAAGAGAATGATGAACTTCAGGTCGTCTTTACCTTGGGTGCGGGTCAGTGACCTCCCAGGCTTGGCTGGGCTCCTGCCTGACTTGAGGAGAGAACCTGACTTTCTTATTGGCTGCAAAGGTGTCCACTTTGTCAGCCATGGGGTGGGTGGGAATCGAGGCAGCTGAATGATGCTGCCCAGGGAGGCCACCATTCAGTCTTTCTTCATTCTGGATGCCCTCAGCCTCTTATGAATGCTCAGACTC